GCTTTTTCACTCTCCAATCTGCAATATTTTTTTTACACTATGATTTTCCTCTGCTTTACTATCTTAACTTTTTACAAAGTTTACAGCACAATTGTTGCAGAAGTTTAGTATTAAAGCAAGGGTAAGGGTGAGAAACTTATGCGTCTTATTGAGAACCTCGTGGCTAAGCATTTACCTTTAAACTCCCGCATAATAGGTAAGCCTTTGAAATTTATGCAGTTTTCTCAATTCATTGTACAACTATTTGCATGACATGAAGCAATGGTGTTCCTCAGGCCTTTCGTTTAGTTCGGAGAAGGCTGTAAGCTTATGAGATTACATTGGTACAATTAGCAATGATCAAATTTAGTCTTGTTTTTGTGGAATGGAATTCTATTAGCTTTACTTTTACAAATTGAGTTAGTTTTCTTTTTTTCTTTTTGTAAACTGTTCCTCATTGAAATTTCTCAATTAGGTTGGTGCAATGGCTCATGGGAAAATCGACAATCAATGACTACATCAGGATTTTGTGTCAGGAATTCCCATCCAGATGTTCAAGTCTTAAATTGTTTGCAACAGACATTTATTTATCTTTTGTTTGTAACATGTTTCGGACTACAAAACAAACATGCTAGTGGTGTGTTGGGGTCCTCGCATGCTTCTCATAGCTGTCATAAATGGTATGCATTTAGGCTGAGTGGTACACAACAACTGACATCGCATCCATCATATGTGAATCCTTCGCCAAAAATCAGTTGTCCTGTGATTAGAATCTCACCGAGTCAGGTTTTGTGAAGCTTTACCCTAACACAGTGTTTGGATTGAGTGATTTCGAAAAGAAAAAAAAAAAAATAGAGAGATGTATTTCTCTTAATTGTTTGGATAGCTTGTGGAGAGAAATTGGAAGAAACAGAGAGAAACATGTCTCTTATAATTTTCATTTTCAATCTTCCCAAAAGTAGAGAGATTGATAGAGAAAAAAACCAATATTTTCATAATACCAATTTTGTTCCTATAAGAATAAAAGAAATAAAATGATTGAAAATATAAAAATGTTATTTTGATAATATAACATAAAATAATTTTTTTCTTCTCTTATAAAATCTAACGAAATAAAAATAAGAGAAATTACAATCATTTCTTTTATTTTATTTCTTACTTGTCTAAATAAAAAGAAAAAAATCACAATCATTTCTTTTTCTTTTCTTTTCTCTTATAACTTAAATAATCATTTCCTTTTTTTTTCTCTCCTAAATTTCGAAACACAGTGTGCCGTTTTGACAACTTCCCATAAACGTCACGTTTTGAGCAATTTTTCCAAAACGCCACCCTTGCAAAAACGCCACTATATCCATTTGGGAAGACCCAAAAAAACTACTTACAAATTTACCAAACTACCCTCTGGAACATTATAATTAATTAATTCAAAAAAATGTTGACATGCAAAAAGTAAAGATATTTTGATCATTTTAAAGTGATGTGACATTTTTAAAAAATATTAAATCAAAAAATAAAAAAGTCAACTTTTTACCAACTTCCCAAATCACTTCCAAAAAAATCAAAAAACTTGATAAAAAATTAAAAACTAACTTTTTATCAACTTCCCATAACACCCAAGTTTGGCATCATTGAAAAAAGATAAAAAGTCAAAAAGTCACTATCCTATTTAAGTCACATCATCTTATTTAAGTCACATCACCTCTCTAACACATCACTTCAAACCCAACCCAAACCCAACCCATATTTCATAAAAAGTCAAAAAGTACACTTATTTAGTCTTCCCAAACTAGGCCTAAGTGCTACTATTTGTGGTACTCCCCCTAAACTAGTCGGTGCCCAACCTAAGGTGCGTAGATTTATACAGGTGCCTATCCAATGTCTGACTTAGTGGTGTCAACAATTATGCGATTGGATTACATATTTTTTATATTTTTTCTCAAAAAAAAAAAATTTTGTTATTTATTTTTTTATATAATTCAATTATATAATTATTAATATCCAATTAATATAATTTTATTAGACATGAAATACTCAACGAATCTTATAAAATGAACGGTTCAGATCATAAAAGTAAGCCCATAATAAATCTCAAATTGAGCCACAATAGTTACTATTCATAGTTTGGGACCCGTGTCACTTTGGTCCCTGACTTTTTAATTATGACACATTTGACCCAGGATTTTGAATCTTATTTCAAATAAGGACAATTAAAGATATTATTGTTTAATTTCAAGAGCAAAACCGTTATTTTGATAAAATATAAACTAATTTGACAAAAATAAATGTCAAAACAATATTTTTGAAATTTTAAAAATTATTTCTCCTCGCTAAATATAAAATTATGTAAAATTGATAAATTTTTGAGACATTTATTTTTTTATTTATTTTACTAAATTAAGTTTTATTATATGTTTGGATAATGATTATGTAATAGGTGGTTGTTTTTATTTTCATTAAATTAGTATCTATTTTTTCAAAAGTCAAATATGGCGACAACTTTGATATCATTATTAAATCAATTCATTAAATCGAAAAATCCAAAACTAAAAATATTTCATATATTAAATATATCGATTACACATTAAAATTGTAACAATTACTCATTACATGATTATCATCCAAAAACATAATAAAAATTGATTTAGTAAAAAAATAAATAAATACATGTCTAAAGATTTATCAAATTTTACATAATTTTATCTTTGGTGAGTAAAAATAATTTTTAAAAATTTAGAAATATTTTTTTGATATTTATTTTTATCAAATTAGTTTATATTTTATTAAATTGATGATTTTACCCTTAAAATTAAGCAACAGTATCTTCAATTGTCCTTATTTGAAATAAGATTCAAAATTCAGAGTCAAATGTGACACAACTAAAAAATCAAGAATCAAAGTGATATGAATTTCAAATTATAAGAACTGTTAGTGTAATTCGTCATAGAATATAACTCCCAAAGATTTATAATCCTAATCCTATTCATTAGTTCAATTAAACAGGCCCTTAATCCACAACATTTTAAGCTTGGAGAGCTGGCGCGCATAGTTTTCTTCAATTTTTTATTTTTGATGATACATTTGTTATTTTCAAATATATAATATACACATCTTTCCTTTTTCTTTTAGTGATAGATTTCATCTTTTCAAATAATATATTTGTTAATTCCATATATATATATATATATATATATATTATTATTATTATTATTATTATTATTATTATTATTATTATTATTATTATTATTATTATTATTATTATTATTATTATTATTATTATTATTATTATTATTATTATTATTATTATTATTATTATTATTATTATTATTATTATTATTATTATTATTATTATTATTATTATTATTATTATTATTATTATTATTATTATTATTATTATTATTATTATTATTATTATTATTATTATTATTATTATTATTATTATTATTATTATTATTATTATTATTATTATTATTATTATTATTATTATTATTATTATTATTATTATTATTATTATTATTATTATTATTATTATTATTATTATTATTATTATTATTATTATTATTATTATTATTATTATTATTATTATTATTATTATTATTATTATTATTATTATTATTATTATTATTATTTTGTCAAAAATTAGCTTATTTAGCCAAAGCAAAGCTAGCCTAGAGGGTGTTTGAGATTTGTTTTTTTAATTTTTACGTTAGAGACTAAAAAAGTTAATGTGTTGGAAAAATTAATAAAAAAATATTCTTTGATTAGTAAAAAAATTTGATGTGAACATTTGATTTTTTTTTTTTTTTTTGCCAAAAAGTATGCTGCGATTTTTAATCGGCCAATACTATATACCACCATTCCAAAAACATTAAATTAAATTAAATTAAAATATGTGGGTTGTATTCCCCTTCAAAGAGCATTATTGGCAATTGAGTAGTGTTATTAGAAAAAATAATCCCATGTTTGGCTTAGAAATTAGATATGAAATTTTAAGAAATGGAGAGAACACTCAACTTTCATATCTCAAATTTTTTTTTTTTTTAGAGACAAAGATAGCGTTTGTGTGTTAGTAGTTAGATTACAATGTAGGTCAATATCTCTCCATAGACTTGAACCTGAAATCTCACCCTAACATTTAAATACCCTCTCCATGACCACTTACGCTACAACCCGAGTCTCATTAAAAATAGTAAAATTTGATGAGAAGCCAACTGTTTTGGCTGTATATTAATCAAGAGTAGCATCAAAGTACAAAAGAGGAAAGACAAAAAAAAAAAAAAAAAACAAAACAAAACAAAACAAAACCTCACACATCCATGTTTTTTTCTTCTGACTCATCCAAACATGATAAGAAAATATAAATTTTTTTTTTCACCCCTCGATCCAAACAAAGTGTAAGAAAAGATCACACCTTTGTCCATGTGTCAAATGAAGTCACCCCTAAAAACCACTTTTGTCTATATGTCACACGAAATCACCTAGCCTTCCAAATATAGCATGAAGTCACCCCTCAAAAAACACCTTTGTCTACATGTCACATGAAGTCACCTAGCCTTTCAAATATAGCTCACCTTTGTCTATATGTGTCAATTATCACGGTTATTATAAATTTGAAAACACCTTTGTCTATATGTCACATGAAGTCACCTAGCCTTTCAAATATAGCTCACAAGAGGCTTTTAAATTCAGACAAATCAGTTGACTTTATGGAAATCTCAATTTCTAGAAGATTGTGAATCATTTAAGAGCATAAATAAATAAATAAACAAACCCAAAATATTTAAAATTTGAGTCATCTACCACCTCTGATGTGGAAGGAGATAGCAATTTATCAATTTTAGTTCCTATACAAACAAAGACTCGAATAATATTCACACATAAATTTTATTCCTCACAATATGATTCCTGATAATGGAATTCCCATTCTTTCTGTTCAATTCTCGTGATCCAAACATAAGCTCAATCACACTTAATTATCAACAAGGTCCCTGCAAGCCATTCAACATCTTTGCCAAGCCTCACCCTTGTACCATTTTGAAAAGATTTACTTCAACATAATACAATAAAAGAACAAAATTTTTGTTTACATGCTCAAGAAGGTTTTCAATGCTTTTCAAAATTGCATGGTAAACTTATGGAGAGAGAGAGAGAGAGAGAGAGAGAGAGGGTATGAAATATATACAAGCCCAACACTATTATTACAGAGTATGAAACATTTGAAATCGTCAGAAAACGAATATAGAATTGACTTACAGGCAAGTCGATGCCTTTGAAGTGCGCTTATTCATCCCCAGGATGATCACAATTACAGTTACATCATCATGGTATTTCCTTCTCCTACCAGCTGGTATACTCATCAACTCTTCTGTACTGAAACCTGCAATGGTGAAACTGCAGGCTTTGAAAACCTAGTGTGGTAGTCACTCAATAACATGCTAATATATAGGGATTGTGTATGGAAAAACACTTGTGTCTGTGTATGAGTGAATATTGATTGAAATTTCAGAACCCTTGTTTCCTTCTCTGGTTCTCTGAACACTGTTTTAATTTACAAAGTTTCTAAACCAGGAAGTTTGTACTATGCTAAAATCAAAATCATCTTGTGAGTTTAGTTGGTTTAATTGGTTTTTTAGGCAACAATACAAGGAAGTGGAGTGCATCAATGTTGACAGATTTAAGCATCAATCTTCATAAAATTAGTAGTTCCATGATGGACAAAAGGCTCCTTTGGAGTTTCATCCTTGTGAGCCAACTATTGGCTCAAACTTGTAGAGAGAGTTACAACACTTTGCTTGGTTCCCATTTTTTAAAAACAGTTTTCAAAAAATTCTACACTCTTATTTTCCGTATTTTTTTGTTTTTACTGAATTTTTTTAATATTTTATGCATTTTTTTTACTTTTTAGACACACCTAACATAAATACACCTAAAAAGTAAAAAAATTGTAAAAAAAATCTTTTAAAAATTCACTAAATACCAAAAATACAAAAAAAATACAAGAATTTAGTACATTTTTTGTATTTTTATGTATTTCTTAATTTTTTAAAATATTTTTTCACAATTTTTTTACTTTTTAGACACATCTAAGTAAGGTGCATCTAAACAAGTAAAAAAAATGTTTAAAATTTTAAAAATATTCACTAAAAACAAAAAAACACGAAAATCAAAAAACTCAGTTTTCAAAAAACTTAATCCAGAAAACTCAAACCAAACACAGTGGTACATTGGTAATTTTCTGATAAGAGTGGTTCACTAATATAGAAAGGCGAATTACATGTGGGTACAACATTAGGGGAATTTTCTCGGGTTTTAAATATCGATTAATATGTATATATCAGAATTAGGTTTTTGATATCGATATTCACTGATACTGTTATTTAAAACCATGGCCCCCCAGAGCACTTAAAAGCCCATTTTTGTGGGATCTCCTACAAGCTCCTACTCCATGCATGATTGCTCAAGGTTCAACTTCTAATGTAACAAAACAATAGTGGTGTGTTTGGTCACTCAAATAAAAGTGGAATGGAATAGAATGACCACTCCCTTATAATGGTGAATAATGATTCAATTTGCAATACATTTTTCATCATTTGTTTAGTGAACCAAATGTGAGGATGGACATTCTAATGAAGTGATCATGACATTCTAGTGAATCAAACAATACCTAATAGTAGTATGATATTATCCATTATGAACAAACCTAATTCAACAGATACACAGCAAATTCTGAGTGGGGGATATCTTACCTGCAGAATCAGCTGCTCTGGCTACAAGTTGCTCCAATAGAAACTTTGCTGGATCCCCAGAAGGGTTGTTCAACATATAGAAATGTACAAGACTTACAGCCTCATCATTGGTGAAGAAGTCGAACAAACCATCACTCCCGAGTATAATAAAGTGATCAGAACTCGAGACTCTGTGGACGTTCAATGATGGTTGAATGGAGACATATGGAGGACTTACAAGGTTACGAACTCGAAGAATGCCCATCAAAGTGTCATTCATATTTCTCTGCACAAAGAAACTAGATTTATGTGTTCCATGTTCAGGTATAAGTCCAATAAAAGTGCATGACCATCAAGCTACTCACTATGTCAAAACTAGATCAGTTTTAAAGCCTTCTGGTACCATTAAGTTTCTCCTACTTGCTTGCCTATTGTTGTTAAACCATCTATACACTTCTCGGATCCATTTCAACAAATAAGATCAAATGAGGCAATGTGGTACTTTAAGAAAGAGAATTTTTTTTCAACAATACCACCATAACTTTTTTGTTCAAGAAATACTTCACCCCACAAAAAATGATCAAAACCATTGGTGTAAAAGACGCATGATCAGTGTTACCAGAAAAAGCTAAGATCCTAGCGAATTACATTTTGGAATGCACATTTTAAAACATGGTACATTTTCATTCCGAAATGGTAAATTTAGATATCCCAAGCGATCCCAATTTTTTCCAATATTTACCTAAAGGTTTTCATAGGAATAAAAAAATCAAATATAATTAACTAAAATTTAAGATGGATAAATTTTGACATGACAAAACATAAAAAATGAGTGAATTAGCTCATAGAAATGTGTTGAAACATTTATTTATTTCTTTTTTGGGGGGGAAAAGGGGGGGGGGGGGGGGGGGGGGGGAGACTAAATTTTATTAGATGTCTAATTGTTAAAAAAACAATAATAATAAATAAAATACTCTAAAGTACAAGTACCTTAAATTCTTAGTGTGAAAACTAGATGTCTATCACAATTTAGAACATGTGGCGTACTGCCAGTGTGGTTGACTTTTGTTAGTTAAATTCTCAGTTAGTCTTACAGATGAAAAACCGCCTTTACAATAAAAAAGATGCAAGTAATTGTTGCCCTAATTATAGAAAGATACAACAAAAATTCTTACCTTTTTCAGGTAACCAACTCCAAATGCGCGAGTGACCTTCAACTTTCCCTTCACTTTTCCACCAAAAATTGGTGCAGGGTCATCTGGGTGATCATGTATAAGTTGATTTCTTTCAACTTCATTGTCCACCGTATGACTTTCAGTGAGTTGTATAGCTTGCAGTTTCTTGCTCTCATTCACATTACCGCCTTCGCCATAAGTTGCTAATAAAGCTCGACTATCACCTAAATTAAGTATATACAAGTCCTTACCATATAGAAGTACAACCAAAACACAAGATCCAATTGATACTAAATCAGGTCGGTCCTCCATTTCCTGTTCAACCCTGTACAAGAAATCATTCTCGGCCTGATTAAGAGCACGTTGGAGGCTATCAAGAACCCTATTCTTGAACGAAGGTGATGATCGTTGCATCTTATTAACATCATTATCTTCAAAAACATATTGGAGGGACCCATCTGAATCCAAACAATCAGACTCTCCAACAGAATCTTTCTTCAGTTCCCAATCTAATAAGTTAAGGTAGAAACCAATGGTCTCATAAAACGTTCCAGCCAAAAAATCAGCTGCGTCTCTTCCATTAAAACCATCATAGATTGCACAGAAAAGCCACCCATTTTCCTCGGAACAAACAGCTTGAACTCTGTCTTCGCCAGCAGCACCACCTGCCACTTGTACTTCCATAGCATTTAGGAAACCTTCACTTCTGGAAGGAGCACTCATGGGTTTTAACAAAAACGAATCGTGTTCACTCGGAGTCGAAGGACTACAACTCAGGTTCGACATACTGCTTTGGAGAGATGATGATAGTAGATCCAACTTTGACACAGAGGGTGACGATGGAATTCTTCGAAATGATTTGGGAGAGTCCCAAGTTCGAAGTATTTCCGCCCCGATTAAGCCATTGCAGATGTTAGTGTTGGCAAGCGTGGCGTTGGCACTTATGGCAGCCCCGGATAGGCAAGAGAAGGAACTGCTGGCTCTTCGGAGTTTAATCCCGGAAGAAGTTTCATATCCACTGGGAACGTCACAAGAATTACCTAGTTTATCGTTGCATTGATAACCGAAACTCACCTTAATTTCTCCACCAGAGTCATTTGTTGTTTCTCCAAACATCATTGATGTCTGAAACATTATAATTTTGTTTCCATCACTAATCTAATTAACAGATAAAACTACAACCTCTGATATTGCAATAGATCAAAATATTGAAGGAACCACATGCTCAAGTGGCTCACTGCCAAGGATCAATAAATAGCATGAGATAGGAATCTTGCCAACGTAAATTGATCAATTTCTGAATGAGTAGTGCTATACAAACAAACTTTCCTTACAAACTGATGTGTCACCTAGAATATTAGTAAGTTGGGCCTCATTTCACATTCCAAAGTTTGTAAGAAAAGTATTTTGTAAAAAAAGTTTTTAAATTTTTTTTTTTTTTTTTTTTTTGCATAGCATTTCCCTTTCTGAATTATCATTTGACACACAAGAAAAAGTTTAGCTAATACAGAATTAAATTTACATTGCCGGCACTGTATAGTATGAACAATTTCAAATGATAACTCGGGAATTGATCAATTTATGTTGTCTGATACTTTGAAGAGTAAATTTTCCAATTAAATATTATAGATACAGCCCAAAAAACCACTTTCTTAGGGTGAAAAAAAGTGAATAATTTGAAGTGCCCACAACTCCACATGTTGTGATTCATAATTGAACACTCGCGGGTTAATTTGAAAAATAACTGCTGACATAAATGATTAAAAACTAAAAAAACACAAAATCTTAAACAAAAAAAAAAAAAAAAAAAAAACAACTAATCTATTCATGAAGTAAATGGAAAGTAAAAAAACACAATCTTACACAACAAACAAAAACAAAAACAAAAAAAACCCTAATCTTTTCATGGATTTATTTCTCTTTTTGGCATATCATTACACCAGATAATCCATTTTCCAACCACCAAACACAATACACACATGTAAAAACACATAAACAGAAGTAAATCAACAATCGAAACTGAAATCTGAGTGATTAGCAAACAAACCAACCTCTATTGACCTCAAAAAGCAAAACCCAGATCGCAGATGAAGAGCTTTGTGTCCAGAATCTGAATTATATTATATGTATATAAAGATCGTTGAACTCTGAAGAAAGCAGTACAGAAAAGGAGAGAATCTGAAGAATATAAGAGGTGGGTGTCGAAGAAGACGGGAGTTTTATATTAGATTGGGGAAAATGAAATTGAATGGTTAGGAAGAGAGACAGTTGGAGACAATTTTAGAGAGAATTTTAATTATTTGGGTCTCTGATTGAGATCTCTGACTTTGATCTGATTCGAATGAAAAGTAACGGTAAGCCTATTTTGGGAACGTGAATATAACTTTATAAGCTGCTTTTTTGTTTATATTCTAGTGTTTTTTTTTATTTATTCATAAAATTATTCAGCCTTGTCTGAGATGTGGGTTGATTTTTGACTTTTTAATTGTTTTAATTTTGGGTTAAAAAGTTTTATTTGGATAGATTTTTTTGATTTATTTGAACTTTTATAAGAAAAAAAATGAAATGATTCTAGTTTAGATGTGATATTTTGTCTTATTAATTTTTTAGTCTATTTTATTTTTTTGTGACTATTTAACTCAAAATCAAGATGCCAAACAAAACCTTAGAAATTTTTTTATTTTCTCTAATATTATTCATTCATCGTATCACAACCGTAGACAAATAGATAAATTCATCATATTAACCCATACAATCTGTGAAATTATAGTTTTATTATAACATAAGAGTATTTTAATATCACATCACAAAAGAATATTTTGGTAATTATAAAAGTTGACTAATTTTCAACGTTTCAAATGATTTTTTTGGCTCAAAACAACTTGATAGCAGCTTCTATCGTTGCTTCCAAAATAGGCCAGTTTCCAGTTTTATTTGGACTCACATGTGAAATGGTCACTCATTCTTTGGAGAAGTTATTTTGCAATTTTAGGACATGGTGACATGACGTGAGAATGTGAGATTTATATCTTCTCTCTATATTTTTATCATTCATATTTTTCTATATTTATTTTTTGAATTTCATTTTATGTCCACAATGATAAATTAAATTATTTATCTCGTAAATCTCACGATGGAGACCATCTATGCAAAAAATCAACTTCATTGGATATTGATAAATACATAAACAAATCACCTTTGTTTTATGAAATGAAAGATTTAAGTTTAAACTCATAATCACTGTCCATTTAAAAAAAAAATAAGATACAATTTATTCATATATCTAATAATATTCGAAGAAATCAATTTTTTGCATGAATCATTTAAATTGTTGGGATTACAAAATGGACGGTTTAAATTATTAATGTAAGCCTAGAATAGAGCTCAAAAAGTCAAAGTATAGAAGAGTATGGAGGGAGTCATTCCTCCAAGAGGGGCAAATAATTTTTTTCATTTTTTTTTTGCTTTTTTTTTAATAAATATTTGTGAAGAAATTTTAAAAATAATAATAAATACTACAAAATACAACAAAATATATATAATATATATATATATATTTTAGAATATTTTGTATTTATTGAATTTTTGAAAGATTTTTTCACAAATAATTTGCTTTTTGAATATATTTAGATTAGATGTATCTAAAAAAATAAAAAATATTAACCAAAATATTAATAAAAATCTATAAAAATAAAAAATACAAATTGAAATCTCAAATTTTGATTTTAAAAACTAAACGGAGTCTTGTTTTAGGATTTGTATACAAAATAAATTAAAATTGTTTGACACTCGCATTTAACGAAACAAAGAAGATACTGATAATTGAATGAAAGGGTAAGAATTTGTAGTTAATTTTTTCGTTCTTTTTCCTTTCAACGTTAGTTTTTTTGGTCGAAAATGAATTACTATGTTTGTTTTCAGTTTTTAAAATTCACTTTTCAAAAAAATTTAGTTTTTATTTTTCATATTTTTTTATTTTCACTAAAAAAAAATTTAAATTTTAAGCAATTTTTAAAATTTTTAGACACACCTAACATAAATACACTTAAAAAGTATAATATTTGTGAAATTTTTTTTAAAAAAATTCACTAAATACCAAAAATAAAAAATAAAAATAAAAATAAAAATAAAAATTCAATACATTTTTCGTATTTTTGTGTATTTATTAATTTTTTACAAATATTTTACTATTTAGATACATCTAAAAAGGTAAAAAAAATTACTTAAAATTTTAAAAATACCCACTAAAAACAAAAAAAAAATACAAAAATAAAAAACTCAATTTTTAAAAAATTAAATTCCAAAAATTGAAACCAATCACACTGAATAAGTTTTTTTGGGTTTAATTACCAAAAAGATATGGCTTATTTTTTGTTTTTTACTTATTATAAAAAGAAATGTAAAAAAGTAAAAGTAACCTAATAACTTAATAAATTATTTATTTTAAGTATACTCCAAACCAACCTAAAAATGTTGAACAATAATGATACATTCCTCTAAAACAAATAAAAAAAAAAAACACACAAGGCCAAAGCATCATATCAGATGAGTCTCAGATACACATTAAAACTATTAGAATTCACAAATTAGAATTCCAAAACATTTTTAAAAGGTTGAAACTGAGCAGAGCGGAAGAATTAGAATATAGGATTTAGAGAAGAATTTGTCTTGTTGATGAGATGTTGCTTCTGTAATTCAATCTTATAGCTCTTTTTTGAGTTTTATTATTATGCCATGTAATTTTTTATTTTCCTATTCAAAAATGGTTAGGATTTCAGAATTTTGAGACCTAGAATATATCCACAAATAAATTGTGGTGAAGATTAAATTAATAAAGTGTGAGTTTACATATCAAATGAATCTGAGTCATTAATGTAAAATTTTAAATAATTTTTAAACTTTTATGTCTAAATCTATAGAATTAATGTTTCTTAGTGTTCGTTTGGCATGTCTCTTGGGGGATAAAATAACCATATAAGACAAAATAAGCTATTTTAGTTAAATATGATAAAATATCATATCTAATTCATAATTATTTTATTTTTTTTCTTACAAAAGTCCAAAAAATTATCTTAAACTAAACTTTTTAACCTCAAATTAAAATAATAATAAAAAAAAACTAAAAAACTAAAATATCAACCCACATTTCAAACGAGTTCTTATTTAACCTTTCATCGGTTGTACAAAATAATAATTTGATGGCCAAATTTTATACTAAGGCCTAGTTTGGGAAGACTAAATAAGTGTACTTTTTGACTTTTTATGAAATATGGGTTGGGTTTGGGTTGGGTTGGGTTTAAAGTGATGTGTTAGAGAGGTGATGTGACTTAAATAAGATGATGTGACTTAAATAGGATAGTGACTTTTTAACTTTTTGTCTTTTTTCAATCATGCCAAACTTGGCCTAAATGACGTGTCATCATTATACATGAATGATGTCTAGCTGTGGGTGACGTGACCAAATTTTCCTATTTCTTTTTGTCTGTTACGTTGTTCCTATGGTAGCCGTGAGGGTAAGAGCATCACCGACGGTTAAGTAAAATTTTTATTAAATTTGAATAAAAAAAAATTGATTTTCTGAATCTGATGCGCGTAGTTCTAATGGTTATGGTTATTATAGTGTGTATCAAAAAAGGAAAGGGACATCCGGTGGGTCGACCGGTTCAAAAAACATTTGAACTGTTTGAACCAGTAATTTGAACCGTTTGAATCAGTTCGCAGGCCAATTTTTACATGAGCCGGTCGACTGGTTGGTCAACCAGGTGGTCGACCAGGGGATCAACCAGGTGGTCAACCTGGTGGTCGACCCCGTAGTATAAATTTTTTACAAATTTCTACTTTAACGGCTATGCACAATGAATTGGTGAAAGGAGCAAGCTGTCCTCAGTTTGGTAAAACATTTGATGTTTTCTTAATTTGATACTATTTTGGTGCAACCGTTGGAGCACAAAAAATAACTTTTTTTCATCAAATTTGAATTTGATATTAAATTTGGTGAACGATTGGAGATGGCCTAATATATAAGAGTTGAAAGTGAAATATTTGTTGTTGTTATAATTTAATTCCTAATTAGCATTTGTCTTGTGTAATATACGTGTTATTTTTTAAAAAAACATTATTTGATACAATATTTGTTATAAAATAATAATTAAAATATCATTTTTATTATTTATTTTAATAATATTAGCACTATCATTTTCTAAAAATTATTATTTGAATACTTATATATATTAATTTTATTTAAATTATTTGTGTATTTTGATAGTTTTAGTTCTATTATATTATAAAAGTGTAATCATCATATAATAATTTTGTATGATATATATTAAATTAATAAAATTAATAATCATTTTAATATTAAAAATAAATGATTAAATTAGAAGAAGAATTAATAACAAAAAATTAAAAGTAATTCCAATTATTTAATTATTTATATTTATTTGGAAAATAAAAATACGTAGAAATAGAAATTATTTAAAATTTGTAAAACATAAAAAAAATTTAATGTTTTAGTTGAATTATCATATAATGATTTTATATGATATATATATATATATATATATTAAATTATAATATTGTAAAATAAACACTCTTAATTAAATTAAAATATCAACTATATAAAAAAAATTTAACAACGACTAACCAAAAAAGAATCACATAATAAACCCCAAAAAAAAAAAAAAAAAAAAAATCCAAACAAAAAATACATTCAACGACGACTAATCAAGAAAGAATCGCATAACAACATTTAAACCTAAAAAGGAAAAAATAATGAAAACATCCAAACGATAAATACATCTCAGTGTGTGAAGTGATTAATCATCTGTAATATGATGTCAAAACATAAAAGAAACTTATTGTTCAATAATTGAAAAAGTAATTCAAGCAGTAATTCCAAACTTTAGAAATTCTTCAAGAGTATTATTGTTATTTAAGTTTTTCCTCTTGTGAGTTGTGATTATATAAAATAATGTAGGAAATGAAATATAATTTCATATATAGAACTATTATAAAATTTAACGACAATCCATAATATAGAATAATATAGAATTAGTATTGGGTATAGAATAATACACAGAAAAAATAAGAAAAAAAATAATAAGCCAATTTAGGCCTCGTTTGGCAAGTGGCTTTTTTAGTCAAAAAGTCAAAAAGTTACTAAAAAAATTAAAAAGCCAACAACCTATACCAAAAAGTCAAAGATTCCATTTTCTCTCTACTTTTTGCACATCTTTTCGTAAAAAGCCAAAAAATCATCCAAAACATACTAATTTTTTTTACATCAAATTTTAGCCAAAAAATTACTAAAAAAGATGTTCCCAAACGAGGCCTTAGTATTAAAAAAATCTTAA